CTTGATTTCATCGATTACTGTTATTTACACATCGGCTTTCATTAGCTTCCGCTCCCCTACCTCACTGCAAACCTATAATAATTGTTCCTGTATGCATACTAAGAACGCCAAGTTCACAATTCATGATTATCACTTATATCAACATCGAAGTTGTTTCTTCAAATCAAATGAAGGAATATGGCATTGATGATGTTATAACGACATCACATTACCGTAGCGTATCATAGAGTAAAATCGTCAGGAAATTAAATTAAATTTCGTCTATTATGTCGTGTCCTCCAAATGTACGTATCTAGGATACATAAGGAACATTATGTAGGATACTCTGGACAGACGTATCCATACTATTCCCGATGTAAGGTGTCGTTGTTTCTAGGGGTGAGACGAGGGGATTCATGTTCTTTCTAGAAAATTCATATGTTTATTTATTATTGCTTTCGAGTTGTCAAATTCATTCTTAACCAACATTCTGGGAAAGGAGAGGTGCGATGTAAAGGGTCAGAAATGTAGATACTTGTATGTGGGATATGGAAATTACACCCTCGAAAAATCAGGCTGAATGGAAACTTATATATATATATTTATTTTCCTTTTTTATCCGAAATGCAATACATAGTTGTATATCAGAAGATATTCATATTTACGTTTCAATAAATGTTTGACAGGTCCCTCAGCTGCTGTCGCCTTCCACGCAAGGTTATCATCAGACCTTACCAGCCCTGGGGATGACCAGACGATCATCATGTCGGACGTTCTTACCAACGAAGGTTCGGCATACGAAAGGTTATCCGGGCATTTCACGAGTCCCGTAGCCGGCGTGTACGCTTTCTTTGTCACAGCAGTGTCCTTTCATGATAAGCAAATTGAAACGGAACTTCTTAAAAACGGACATACAATCGGTAGGCTAGTTAGTGGCAGTTCCGTTTTTTGGGGGTCGAGTTCCAATACGGTAATTGTCACCGCCCAAATAGGGGATCACTTCTGGGTTAGAGTAAATGGTCACTTCCATGACACTGGAACGGTGTTAGATCATTATTTCACCACCTTTTCTGGTTTTCTCCTTTACTGAAGGTAATTAAATGATGAACATATTTACATTTTAGTTTTATTCTTTGTTACAATAATGTCATTAACTGTCATGTATGTATATGGTTTTCGGTCAATAGCTTTTTGACTTCATGTTTCCAGTAATTTTGATAGGAAAATATGCATTGACCCATGCTCAATACAAAACAATATATAAGTTCTAAGTACCTGTTTCATAATTGTTGTAAAATAAATAAACTGTATCTTATAGATATATATAAATACAAAGAACGTTAATTGTAGAAAGTTATTTTTTAGCTCAGCACACCTACATGTACGTGCATGTACATGTAAATTATATGTAAGAATTAAGATATTTTGATGTTAAAACACTTTACTTACTTTGAATTTCAATTGTGCTGGCTACGGGTTCGAGTCTGCTTTTAAATTCAGCCTGTCCTGGTTCGAATCGTTGACAGTATTTCACTTGACCAGGGACGTTGCTTCCGAATGAGTTCATGGTTGATTTGAATTTTGAAGAGGAGGGACAACCTGGTTCAATATATATACATATGCCGGAGAAGAAAGATAACACTGATGAGGTGCCTTTTCAAGCACTCTAGCAGAGGAAGACATCATGCTGGAATCTACGTTTAGTTTTCTTTAACATTTGCAGACTGCAGTTGCCCATCAAAGATTTCTGGATTTTGAAATAATGTTAGGGTCAAAATTTGCACAAGGGGGTAAAAAGCATCAAATCAATTATTGGGAATGTATATAGAAAGGTGAGTGTAAATATTTTTGAGGTGGGGTTGGGGTTTGAAGCTAAAAATAAAAGAAGTCAATTTCGTGTTGGCGTACAAATATAACTTTCTGGATCCGAGCCTAAAAAATAGATATTGATGATAAATAAAGTTGCAGATTTGGTTATTCCTTAATTAATCCTAATGACTTCGAAAGGGTCCTGGCTCTACTTTAGTTGCATCATAGTACATTATCATTATTTTACTATAATTCTAAATTAAAAAAAAAAATGTTATGACATATATATCTAGACCTTGTTTTGAAACCGTACTTTACGCTTTTATACATTATATTGTCAAAACGGTAACGGTTATCAGAAAGTAGTTATTTTCAGTGGTACAACTGGGCTCAATGATGTCTTTTAAGTATTAAGGTATATCTATTAAGGTAAGCCGATCTATTTAATCTGTACCGAGGCCGGAGAGGGAAAAGGACGCGGAGTAGAGTTCTCCCCCAAATGAAGTATCATATTGCCTTCTCACTGCGTTCATTGCCTTCGGTCTGTGCCATTACCTCTTCTAAAAGTAAACCCATGACAATGGGACCGTCCGAACAATCAATGGATACGCCTAATCATACGACTCCGAGTGTTACAATATAAAGAAAGCTCTGTGTAGAAATGAACTGGACAAGGGATTATAAATGATAAGACTGCAAAGTTACACAGTGAGTTCCATATGAATACTGCTTTGTATTTGTGATTTGTTATTGTATCAATGTTATTGCAGCTGCTTCTTCATCATTTCAAATAAAACCACTGTGTAAATGATAAAGCATGTTCATGCTGCTGAACTTTATTTGATATCGTACAAACAACACCATGGCAACGTATTTCATATACATGTCGGAGCAATTCAGTGGCATTAAACACCAGATTGATACCTAAGAAGTGTTTAAAGGCTGAATACATCCATCTGGTGGCCAAAGCGGTCAGAAATAGTGTCGCTTTGTAAAGCATTTCTAATGGCTTATCTTCGGAAAATGTCTAAGGTATATATGTATGTTGCACGACTTTCAAAGAAGGTCATGACCAAATCATTCAAAGGAAAGACCGACAAAGGATACAGATAAGGCTCACGATTATATCATTCTGGCTGGCACACCTTCAGGCATCGTCTTTATAACAGCTCTGTCATGGAAATGGCGAAAATGAAACTTGTGTTTCTTCTGATTGTTCTGTATGCAAAACATGCCGACGAAGTATATAATAATGGTCATCATTTGAGATATTACACAACGAAAAACGCCATCACCTATTCAAACATGGTGTCAGATGACCAGGCACTGGCAAATATTGAGCTGAGACTGAGTTCATTGGAATCGTATAACCGTCGTCTGACGATTGAAAATCAGCAAATCCACAGGACAAATTTAGACTTGAAACAGGAAATGCAAAAAGCCAGGGCGGAGACCAATGAAATTCAGAAAAACGTTCGACGACTCGAGATCGAAAACCGCCATTTTATACAAGTGGTTGGGAACATCAAAAAAAAGATGCAATTGTTAGTAGAAGATCAAGATCAACACAAATCTACGGCTAGCCAAGATATCAGTAGGAACATTACAAAATCCAAAGATATTGCATGGACTGCTCATAGTGAAAAACACGACCTTTCATACAATGTTCCATACAGTGTTCCTAAATCTGTGAGTAGTTCTATTCAGCAGGCCGAAGGAAAGCTTTTGAACGACAGAGATGGAATACATAGCGACCCCGAGACATTTGACCCGGATGTGAACTTAGTTAATGATCTACGAAACATGCTGGTCCAAAGTGGAAAGAACGAGAGTGGATTTTCTGTGTTTATGCCACTTACTGCCAAAAGAGAAAGCAGGAAGAATGCACGTGTCGCTGGTAAGTCGATTATTTCTTTGTGAGCAAGGGCGGATCTTGGCCAGCCCCTGCTAGTACCACCCCTCTCCATTGAGTTTAAGGAATGCCGTTCAAATCAAGGAATTTATTGCCTGCAATTTTTTCATCAGAATGCACGTTAATACTATCTTTGTTCACATTTCGCGATAATTGTATCGATTATATTTTTTACAGATCAGCATTTACTAGTGCCCCCCCCCCCTCCCCCCTTTACTACATACGTGTCATAGGGGAAACACTAGGAAACCCTTTTTTAATTTGTCTATTATGTCGTTTCCCAACAGGTACAGTGCATGTATGTTAGATACACGTGTCATGTATGCAAATATCATGTGAGGTATATGTGCGTGTTACTTTTAACCTGGAAAGATGAATCCATTCCTTCCTGATATGATGTATCTTTTTCTCATCTTAGTTACGAGACGAGATAATTCATAGTCATAACAATTGTATAACATGCCATTAGCAATACATTTGCATAACATTAACATTACATATATATGACTTGGTCAATAGGGCAAAAAAAAGGAATATCTCCTATCCTCTTTGTGGTTAGATTGGAGATTTCAACCCCCAGGAAATATTTGAAATGCCTCTTGTTTGGCATCTTAACATTCTCCCCAATTTAATCCGTAAGGGGTTAGACATTTTTTCCCAACGTGTATGCGATCATTTCTTTTTACTATCGCTGCATCGCAATCAATAAGGCAAATTTATTATGACATAAAAAACAAAGGCCCTCAAAACCGTCATTTAACTGACTATGAAGATCAAATTGTCAGTACCTTACACATACTAGTGAGCATAAGAAAGCACAGTACATGCATGCCATGAATGTAATGCGTACTTTTTAAAAGTTTGAGATACACCTAACTTTAATTGCAATTTCGAGATATGGACCTTGTTTATGTGTATGGTATCTATAAATTAACCTTTTAAGTATTGCACTTTAATTGTTAAGGCCGTATTTTGCTATAAGTCTGCGAGAGGTGGGAGAAAATGTCATTCAGTTGGTACAAGTATTTCATATAAGGAAAAATTGGGATCAGAATATCAGTACACAAAGAAATTATGCATAGTATATTTCATCAGATATGTTATAACACTATATATGAGATAAGCTGTATAGATGTATGTTTTTATAAATATGTCAAAAGATCCAACCACTGCCGTCGCCTTCCACACAAGGTTATCAACAGAACTTACTAACCCTGGGGATGACCAGACAATCATCATGTCGGACGTTCTTACTAACGCAGGTGGGGCGTACGACAGTTCGACCGGGTATTTCACGTGTCCAGAGTCCGGTGTGTACGTTTTTTTTGTCACAACATTGGCCTTTCCTAATAAACACATAGAAACAATGCTTCTTAAAAACGGACATAGAATTGGTATGCTTATTAGTGGCAACTCCGATACTTGGGGGCCAAGTTCCAATATGGTAATTGTCACCGCCCAAAAAGGAGATCACGTCTGGGTTAAAGTAAATGATCACTACCATGACACTGGAACAGTCTTACATCAAGGTTTTACAACCTTTTCTGGTTTTCTCCTTCACTGAAATTAAAGAAAGAATTGTAATATTGACATATGAGTTTTGTTATTTATTACAAAAGTACAATGTATAAAAAAGATATCTGGCCAACGATCGATTCATATATGGTTATGTGTAATATCAAAAAGAATTTAATTTATTCTCAAACTGTGAAGTTTCCCTTTCCTGGCAGTCACATCCCTGTTTTCCCACCTACATCATTTGCATGCTCTAGTTGTAACGCTTTTGAATTTCGATTTATGGGTTTGTTATGAGTTGGCATTGTCTTGTCTTTTTTCCTGAAACTGTGTAAGTTTCACATATCGAATGAAACTATTATATCAACCCTATATAAAGCTGAGTTTCTCGGCGAGCGAGTCTGAACAGGGTGCCTACTACGTTTGACGATTTAAAGTGTATTCTTTCACATGGGGAAAATGATAAACTTAAAGAATACGACTAAATTCAAACTGACAGCAAAATACGACAATAGTTAGTGTTTTACTGTTAAAAAAACTATTCGAGCAGCTTTTGTTGGTCTTTTCCCCATTGCAATTACGCCGGTTTCAAATTACGTGGACTAAGAGCCCGGTACGGATTAACTAATCCGGCATGTCTTGGATTTTGTGAAGGACTCCACCTGGTTCATAATACATGCAAGACAAGGTGCCAAAAGATATATTCTAGCAGAAGGAGACGCCAGATTGGTAACTACGGGTAGGTTTCTTCAACGTTTTCAGCAGCAGATGTATACTTTTGGGTTGATTATATGGGTTTACACGGTGTAAAATTTCATAATTCCTCTCCCTTTCTATCTACATGTTGACTTCATGGTATAGAGAACACTCACCAGTTGTGATGGATGTATACCAATAATGTAGGACCATTTCAGTCTCAATGTACGTAACTGTTGATGCTATAATAAATCTGGAATTCGTTTTGAAACAGTAACTTACGCTTATACTCATGATACACTGAACACGGTGACGGTTGTTTATTGATGTTTTGTAAGTTAGTATGTTTTCTCTGTTTAGGTACGCCTATCAAATTGTACAGGGGAGGGAGAGGGAGAAAGATGAGTGCAGTACTCCCCCAAATGGCATACCATGTATTACCTCACCGTGTTCTCCGAGGATAAATGGGCATCTCCCGAAAAATCAGTGTGATAGGCAGGACCACTGAACGCTTTGGTATACTACGACAGGAGAAATGTCATTACCGACTACATGGTCAGTATACAAGTACAGTGTAAAAGTCTACTGGAGATGTTTCAAGAAAACAAGCACATGCCAATACGTATATCACCAAACATTGTTATAGATTGTACAATATAGATTACAAATACAATCAGTAGCCTATTCATTTCATATAATCCGTCTTGTTCAGCATGTCCTTATATCACCAACGCTTGATTAGGTGTACATGTAGGAGGTAACACGAATCTAAACAAAGATAGAAGGGTTCCTGTGTCTAATCGGCTCGACTAATCTAACTATCCCAGTCTCTGCACCGTCATGTAATGGAAGAAACTGCTGTTCAACATTATGCTGTGCATCGTAGATATATCATACATGTTAAAGGCAACTCGTTGTTGAGGAAAAAATGACAAGGAATTATAAAGAGTGACACAACTCTGATGTTAAAAGAATACAATGTATATGAAAGGTGTATGGCATGTTTAGTTCCCCACCCTCAGATCTGTACATGTGTTTTACGATACATGCTACACATATACAGACCTTGGGTCGGGGAGCTTTATATTCTTTATCCTTTTGATCTTTCATTGTAACGGTTTTTAAATTGTATCTTGTTTGGGTAAATATATAAAAATATCTTTGCATAATGAATTCATTCGTTTACATACATTACAGTAAGACATCCAAGCTGGAGCTCCGGACGGGGTTTGTCACGGTTTGGTAGAGCAAGCAAGAACACAGGAACCACAACACAACTAAAGGTGGATCAGCCCTGCAAGACTGACCACTCTACACTTCATGGATAACATGTACCTATCAGGTGACATCCCCGATATCCAAGGGTTACAATCACATTTGCTTTCTGCACCCCTGGAATATGTCAAAGTAAAATTGAAGGATCACTGCTAGCTATTTGATTGGTCTCAGGTTAAGAAACATGACCAATTGCTAGGAAGATACATATCCTTTGAGGATTACAAAGTAGTGACAACCGACTTCAAAGCCAGTCTATTATACCGTTACGCGACCGCGAGATTATTTTGATGTACATCAAAAGATCAAACTAGTCT